ACAATATGCGTTTTTGCTGGCTGTAGCAGCGCTATAGCGCTGCACAGCAAAAACGCATAAAAAAGTGAACCGCTGTTTGAAATGCAAAAAGGGTAATTTGTTAGTAGAAAAACAACGTAAAAGACTGTTTCCCTTTTGTGTAAAATAAAGTTATCTAAAAAAATTCAGAAGTCACAAGCACTTTTTGAAACCACTTCCAAATCCAAGAGAAACGTAAAATCAGCATTAATGTCAAGGTAGAAACCCTTTCACTTCGCACGTTATAAAAGGCAGAGGCACTCAGAAATTAGCCTGAGCGGTAATAAATGCCAACAGTAACCATTCGTTGACAAGGGTGCTGGGGGCTCCCACTTTTGGGAAGTGCTTAGAAACAAGCTGATGGCAAGTTTGTCTCCCTGATATATGCCACTGGTACCAATTCATCGTTGAAACAAATAAACTGATTTTCTGAACCATGTTAAATCCAATGAAAAGCCAACCAAAACAAGTAAAAAAATGAAAAACCAATAGGACTGGCTTTTCCACATTCGACCTAATACACGGAAAATAGTACTACTTCATGCTGTGTTGTGCCCACCGGCAAAAATATGAAATATTGATTGAATTTAAGGAAAATTTTGCGAAAAACGAGCAATTAACTACTAAAAAAAATTCAAAAAAAAAAGAGTTAAATGCACGAGAAATAAAATAATAAAATGAACGAATGAAAAAAAATGAATAAAATAAATCAATCAGTCAATGAACAACGGATGAACAGATGAATGACGGAAACCGGAGATATACGAACCCTATCAATTTTTGAATGTAACATGTCAGGCATTTGCCGTAGCCAATCCTGGATCTGTTTTTTGGACTGTTCGATATGTTCAACCAAGCACTGGTGATGAAAATAATGGTCACATGTGGAAGTACAAACACTGGCCACTGCCTCACTAAATTTCCTCAAACATATTGGACAAACTGCACATGGAATGCTTTGTTGTGTAGCCAAAAAATCTCGAATCATCTGAAAAAAAAAATCAGCAAATCCTAAGCATTATGCACAATTTTGCTACTCTAAAAAGAAAAAACGAGCAAAATAAAGTGTCTTATGTGTGAACAAAGTCATAATGCTTTTTAAATATTTATTTGGTATTAGATGCTTTTTTCATCGACCTGTTCCTTCTCACCTTCGATGCAGAGCAGCTGGCGCATGCATTTCAACAATAGTAGGAATTAAATCAAAACATTGACCGAACAAAAATTTTTGAAGAGCTTTTTACCTCAAAAACATCAAAAACGATAGTTACGCCAAGATGTTCGCGAAGAAATTCGCTGATCCTATCCCGTAAAGTATTCAAATTTTCTTCATCTACACCACGCGGCAATTGAAAGTGAACTCTCGGTGCAACGTCCGGATACTGCAAGAAGCATCTTTTCGTGACCGCAACAAAATGCAAACAATTGAACAAAGTGAGAATTATTTACTGGAAGACAAGTTTGTTGCAATGCCCATCATTTTCAGGAGGTTTTTACTGTACTGACTGCTGTCAGTTCCCTTATAATAAGCAGAAATCTGAAATAAGAAGCCACCGAAAACCCTTCGCCAGCGGATATTTGCTGCTGTTGCTGTCGGTAAATGCTACCATTCGGGTCACCTCTCACTGCCTAGATCGCTCACAGAAAGTGGAGATGGAACGAAATTTCAGCTTTTATCAAAAGCGTTGTTAAGAAAAACTTGAATCCGGTAAAAAAGATGAATTTTCATAAGTCCTCCTTGAGCTTTTCCTTTGTGTACCTCTAATAGCATCTTTGAAACCCGTATGTTTCACTGACAGTACACTGCTAATGTGTAGATTTCCTTCTAAATATGAAAATTTTTTAAGAATTTGAATTTTTTCTCTTTAATTCTGAAGAATATTTTAAGAGTTCTGAATCCTGAAATTTTTAAGAATTCTGAAAAAAAAATATTGGAATCGAAGGCAACCAGCATAGCACATGCCATATATATATATATATATATATATATATATATATATACGTATATATACATATATATATATATATATTTAATAAGCACACTGAGAAACAGTCTGCATTTCATCTCTCTTCCCCCGCAAACATAACAGATTTTTGCATGTCGATAAAGGCAGGAATCATCAGCATAACCCCCAAATCCGATTCGTATTGAATGCAAATGTGTCTAGAAACTATCGCCTCCACGGACTCATTTATATATGCATTTCATGCTAATCGAAAAAAAAAAACAAAGTAACTAACTTGATGCGGCAATTCGATAACGGCTCGAATACTAGGTGCACAGGTGCGATCTTGCACTGATGGCTGTATCCTCAGATTCAGTACAGCTTGTGAATCGCTAAAAGGCTTGTTTTTTTTAACTATAAATAAAATTTAATTCTACGTAAGAATTAATGGGGGGAATATTGAAATTTTTGATGAGACTTTTGTGCGAAGATATTGCCATATCAGTCGCAAACAAAGAATTCTCTATCAATGCCTCTAATTTTTCACTATTTTTCTTAGGAAACTGTTATTAACGTGAACGATAGAGAATCAAATGTGCCATCAGTTTGATTCTAAAAATAAGTGAGGAAAAATGAAAATATCGAAAGTTTCAGCACTTTCAGTGTGAGCAATGTGCTACTGTTTCGATCTCATAACACGACAGAGCGTTTTGAGTCTTTTCGCTTAATACACATTTTGTAAAAATACGATGAAAACAGAGCTGCCTTCCCTCCTTCTCTTAGAGTGGGCCATTTACAGCAGTCAAAATCCAACCACAATGAAACGGTCTCTCAGAAAAGCCGAGGCAGTCGGAAGCAACTCGAACAGTTGAGCAGCGAAAATATTATGATATATATATATTAATATTTTATAACTTTATACTTTACACATGTAACTTCATAATTTTAAACAACTTTAAACATACAAACTCTATAACTTTATAAAAGTAACTTTATATGTATTAATACATATATTTGTATCATAATATCTTCATTGTGCTACTGCCATAAAATTATATTAAACAACTAGATGAAGAGGAATGTGTCGATCCAATAAGTCTATTCAGTACCACGACTGGACCTCGTCAGTACGATGGTTGTGATATTAATAGAAAAAAAAATAAGTAAAATGAAAAATGTTTATAAGAAAGTGAGTCATAACCAGAACTACCTAATGGGCAGGTTGTTATGGCTTTTTCTGAGGGTTATTTAGAAACATGCTGATGACAGGCTTCCAGCTTAGCTCTCCTAGTTAACATTGAAAAAAGTGGACAAGTTGCCAAAAGACTGGACGTCCCAGCGATGGAGTTGAACCCTGGGCCTCGAGCGTAAGAACACTTCTTATCCTAGCAGTACCACTAATCCAGAAAAAGATTATGATGTCTGAACTGGCAGGTGATGGCAGTTCTGGATTAATTTTGTTCAGTGTCCATCCGATCCCAAAGCCTCAGCAAGGGCCTAGGTCTTCACCTCAAGCCTAAAACTGCGGACATGAATGAGACAAAAGAGACAAAATGAGGTGGGGTTCATGTGAGACAAGGATGGGATTCACGTGAGGCATGCCAGCACCTGTAAAAGTTATATACAAAACAAAACTGGGAAAAAATTACGCTGAATCTGGAGTCTCCTCAATCACAAGTTCATCGCCGTAAATGCTTTTCAGCACCTCCATTTCCTGTTCTACCATACTCTGAAATACGGCATATTTTAAGGCAGTGAAGCACAAATGCGCTGAAGGAGCATTACCTAATAACTGTTGAGAGAGTTGTTCAAAGAAAGATCAAAGGCCTTTACGGAGGGAGGAAAGTTCTGGATCATTCAGTACTATTCTTGAGGAGCACTAAAACAGTTTTTAGAAAAAAAAAAAAAATCGAAAAAAGTTGGCCAAATAGGGAAAATTTTAACACTCTCAAATTCGAATATCACGAATTTGCATCGCTGGATTTGGGGACACCAAAATTCATCTCAGCCCACTCTACTCAGTACAATCAGAGAACTCTCCACTTCTCGCAATGTAGACAGAAATCCCTCAGTTTTCCTCAGTACAATCACAGATAGAAATTCCTCAGAAATCCCTCAGTTCTCCTCACTCCTCTCAATTCTCCACATTGCAAACACACATTCCCTGCATTTCCTTTCCAACACTGAAATAATGCCAGAAGAGAAGAATCCACTGCAGCAGTCCAGTTAACATTTGCTTTCCAGTCGCCCTGCCTTTAAGTTTGCGCAAAGAAAAATGTACCTTCAGAGGCTTCGGAGAACACATTGCGCGATCAGCTACGCACTGCACCTATGCATGCCCAAATATAAATTGAAAAAAAAAGAATCAAGGAAAAAAAACGTTAAAAATGATGAGGACGAAGAAAGAAGTTTCGGGTGCACCGAAAACCGGAAGCTGAGAAATTTCGATTCATCAAAATGTGCATGTCTTAAAATTAACACTGCAACTGGACCTCATCAGTACAACAATTGAAAATATGTAAATTCAGACGTGGAAAAAAACCAAGTTAGCTTAAATGAGGTTGTATTATTTGGCTTCTTCACTAATATCAAATAAACAAAATCGACTGTT